TATATTATGTCTTTTAGTTTAATAAATACTAAACTATTAATAAATATTGCCTAAAAATTCATGTTTTAATTTGTCAAAAATCAGCCTACTCTCCACTTTTTGGTTTCAGCTGAAAAGGAAACTTTTTCCCATGCTTACATTTCAGGATTATGGAAAAAGTACTCCAGAGACATAATTTTTTATCAGTTTTGAAATGGATAAATTATTTATCCTCGCAGAAAAAGCAGCGAGAGAAGGATACAAATACTTTATTCTTCTTTTCAGTTGATGGAAGATTCAGGAAGATGATGAAGAGGAAGAGGCAAAAAATGGCACAGAATAATAATAAAAAGAAAAGTTAACCTGCACAATGACAAGCTCTGTTTTTCTCCCTTCTTTGTTCCTGGTGCTAGTTTGAATCAAACAAAATAAGTGCTAGTTGAAAGCATGAATATGATTCAGATCTACCATCTGAGCTAACGTAGACTAGAGCCCCACAGAAGTTCAAATATTTGTTTGAACTTCTGGAGAACGTTTTTTTTCAGGTAAAGAAATTGGGTAAACAACTTCTCTAAAAGTCTCCAGGGGAGACTATTTCTGATTATGTTTTCCAATAGCATATGGAAAGTTTCGGTTGCTGGCTTGGAAAGGGGTTGGGGAAGCAGCAAGATTGTTTAAAATGAATCTTATCTCCAATATTTCAGCCATTGGTGAAATCATAACCAAAGGGGGTAAAAGAAAGGCCAAGTATGATAAACCTTTTTATGTTTCATTTTCTCTGCCATTCCCACTTGACCTTTTATTATTCTGCTATCAGATTTTGGCATCTTCCTGTGAACGATCACGCCACAAAAATAGATGGGACTAAGAGTTAGAAGGAGAACCCACTGGCTTCTTATCCTGTAATCTAAAACTTGGGCCAAGGGGCAAGACACTTGGGAAGAAAGGTTTCAAATTGAATGAACCCTTCTTAGTGAACTCATTATAAATGAGGGTTGGAAATTCCACTCTCAGTTCCAAGATTTTGTATTCTTTTTTTTTTCAGAAAGAGAAGGAGGAGGAGGAGGAGGACTACAAGGAAAGAGATCATATCATGAGTGGATTGAAAAACGGCCAAAAAGAATACTAGGCTCAAGGTCGAATATTAAAAGGTCTAAAACTGTCTTAGCCTGTGGATACACTTAGAGATGACAAGAAGACAAAAACAAGTCTCTGACAAGACTAGAGAGATGTTTAAAATGAATCTTAAGGAAAAGTGGCAATTTCTGCACATATATAAACTTGTAGCTAGGGGACACAGGAATGTTATCTACTTGCGCATGCCCTTAAATTTCTGCTCCTTTGAAGGCAGTCCTTGGGCCTTTTGTGGTACATGTAAGCATGATCATCTTTAAACACTATTTCCACATTGGAGGTGTCAATCTTGTGAGTTGTAGGGCAGATGAAAACTCTTTTTCAGCCCATTTTCTTTCAGTTGTGCTTTTGGCCAGAAATCTACAAGCTTAAATCACTTTACTATTGGATGTGAGGGCTCTTAGGATGGATCATAGGCATAACAAGAATAAGGGCTAAAGCAGTGCTAAAAATAAAGTAGACCTTAGGTTGAGTTTATTAGTCCTGAGGGGGTAAGAATTGACATGGGGTGGCTGTGAGGGCTTTGTGGAGACTTCAACTATTCACTCACATTTTTTTTTTTTTACATTTTACTTTTCAGTTTACACTCCATGTACCTTTTGGCTCAGGGACAGAAGTATCCACTCCTGTGATTGCTTTGGTGTTATTTTATGGCTCAGAAATATTTCCACAAAACTTTGCATTCAACAGTTTGAAGATACGTTGCTTGCCACATCTTACTTCTGTGCTATAGATTGCTCTCCCAGAAAAAAAAATAATACTTGAAACCTATGAATATGTTTTGTCTTATGGTCTTTGTAAGAGAATAATGCATGGGTGAGAGAGCTAGAGACATAAATAATCCTACTTTTTAAATTTGGGTCACCATCTATTATTTGCTGCTTGTTACTTATCCCACCTATGTCAGTGTGCATAAATTGCCATTAGAGAAACTTCCCTTTCTCATTCTTGTAATAAGATTGTTAATTAGAGAGAAATTAATGGCATGTCCCTCATACATTTCCTGTCTTAATAAACCTCTCTTTCAACTTTATCATGTTGCTATATATCACATACCATGATGTGCCTCATGACTACTTGTTATAATGCAGTTATTGCTCCAACTTATTTTTCCTTCTGTTCAATTATGTTACTTCCTGGAGTCTATTTGGACATGTTTCTGCAGATTTCTTGGCAGATTTCATTTCCTTCCTAAAGCTGAGAGAAAGTGACTGGCCCCAGGTTACCCAGCTGGCTTGCCCAAGGCAGGACTAGAACTCATGGCCTTCCACTTTCTAGTCTGATGCCTTAAATACTACAACAGGGGTGTCAAACTCAAGGCCCATGGGCTGAATATAGCACACAGGGTGCTTAAATGTGGCCCTCAGGGCTGGCCTAAAGATAACAAAGGAACAGCCTGCAGTGACTGTAGCAGCCAAAACGGGGCATGGGAGGCTATGCATGCCTCCCCACACCTTATTTTTGGCCTGGATGGTCTCCTGCAGCATTTTACCAGCCAAAACAGGGCACAGGTGGACCACACAACCAACCTACACCCAGTTTTCAGCCTGGATGGCTTCCTGCAGCATTGTGCTGGCCAAAATGGGGCATGGGGGAGCTGTGCATGACTCCCTGCACCCCGTTTTGGCCAGCAGAGTGCTGCAGAAAGCTGTCCAGGCCAAAAATGGGTACATAGGGACTGCATGTTGGCCCCCGAAACCCCATTTTGGCAGGCAGGATGCTTCAGGGGGCATCTATTCCATTTTGCCCCACAAGGCCAGCTCACAGAGGAGAACTACAGTGCTGATCCAGCCCTCAAAGAAATCCTGTTTGACACCCCTGCACTACAACAAGCCTATGACTAGAGTTCAGAGGAGTTGATAAATCAGACGCTTGATGCATGAAACATGGAGCCTGATTTCCTCCAGTATTGAAGAAAAAGGAAAAAAAATGCATTATAATAGAATACTTGCTTTTTAGGCATTATTAAAAATGCTTGGAATGAAAGTTAGTGAGATAAGAAAGCTATTATCATTATCATTATCATTATTATTATTACATTCAACAAGAAACTCAATCAACTGAACATTTTAAATTGTATCACAAATATCATTGACTGGTGCCGATAGTTGATACGGATGGTTGTCAGCATCCTGGGTATCAACCAAGTACCTTCTTAAGATGTATGATGTTCCGAATAGCAGAGGTTTTTGCAGTTCCACTGGTGTTATTGCAAGAAGCTGCAATTTCTCGATGTATTTTGTAAAATTCTTGGTCATGGTATCAAGTGCCCCGATGAGCATGGGTATCACTGTTACATGCTTCGTTCATAATCACGTAGTTTCGATGGCCAGGTTGTGACGTTTTGTGATTTTTTTTCCAGCTCTTTTTCTTTGACTCTGGAGTCAATAAATTGTATGCTGCGATTTTCAACATCTGTGATATCTGTCATGTTGTGTTCCCAATGATGATTCGTCTGTATTTGAATTATTATTATTATTGTTGTTGTTGTTGTTATCTCTTTTATACATTAAACATAAAACTCAGTCAACAATATTTAAAAATGTATCACAAATATTATTGACTGGAACTGATGGTTGAGAGTCTCTTCATACGATATCGGTCCCTGATTTGCTAGTTCAGTACCTTACATGAGCTAGTCCTCTGTTAGAGACATTTGTCTTGCACATATGAATTTGTCCAACATCTCAATTGTATGACAACATCTCAATTGTTGTCATACATCAAAGACTATCTGAATCTGTAATGCTTCCATGTTTGATTGAATTACAGAATGTGGCATGGAAGTACAAGTTTAATCTGGATTTATTCAAGGCTCCAAAAGATGGTTATTCTGATATAGAATGTAAAACCATCAAGAGATTGGTCTTTTGGTATGGAATGGTAAAAGAAATTTTCTGATGAGCATTTAATCTTTCTTATATAAATGTGCTAGGATTGGAAGAATCCACTGAATAGCTTGGAGCCAATTTAGTATTTTAGGTAGTTTTTATATAATGTTTTATCAGTCACAGCTTAAAAGGGAACAAGATGGAAATGGAATGGATCCATTCCTTTCTGGGAACTAATAATGTAATTAGATGAAAAAGAAAAGATTGTACACTATCTTGAAGAGAGAGAGTCAAATGATGTTATCATCAGGTAAAAATGTTTTCAGCTTCTCTCCCATAATCATAAGGCCTCACTGAATCTGTTATTTTCCAGGCAAAAGAGATCTGGTAACAAATTGGACAGCCTTGTTACCATAGTGTAGCTGAAATATACAATTTGCCCTTGAATCAATAGTATATAACTTACTTTATTTCTAACATTATGCCTGAAATTCACTTGTTGCAGTACAGTAATAAAGCAAGTTACATAATTTAATTTCTATAATGCCATGGGTTATTTTTCTGTGTCTGAATAAGCCATGCATAAGTATTTATCAAATTAAAATAAAATATTATTGCTTTTTTCAAATCTAATAAATTAATAACATATATAATTAAGGCAGGAAAACTCTAAAAAATAAATATACTAAATTGGCTTAAGAAGTTAACCTTTTTTTGTCCTAACATTGTATAGAAAAGAAATCCAGATCTATTTGAATGTGATGGAGGCATATAACTTAATAATCAAGATACATCTATCTGAAATCAGATTAGAACTTCAGGTTGTCAAGTTAGTTATTCTCTTTAATGTGAAAAACCTTTGCAACAACTGAAGATCTGCATATACAGCTACAGTTCAGACAGTAATCAAATGGCATGACATCATCTATTACTCTCTGTCACACGGGAAAACACAGAAAAAGACATCAATGGACACCTGGTGATGCATAAAACATTAATGTATTCCCAGACACATTCATCTGGAAAAAAGATTAGCAGCAGGTCCCTGCAAGTACCACAGCATCTGTTGTATCTGTGCTCCCAAAATTAATTTTGTCTGAAAAGGTCTTTTTAAAAAAAATCTCTAAAATAAAAGATTTCAGTGATCTTCTAATCGATCTGATTAGATTCTAGCTGAAGAGTCCTAAAAACTCACCAGACTTGGTTATTTCAAGAAATTTGAGGTGCTAGAAAAAATAGCTAATCTCTGATTTATTACAATGGCTAAAATTTCAAGAGAAAGGCCACATTTGCAAAGTACCTTCTCTTAGAGAGAAAGGTTATAGATGGTGTCACAAAGGGCAATCTTTTAAGAGCAGCAGGACAGCCATTATTGG